TCTCCAGCCGCCGCATCTCACTCGTCCGGCCGGACCCTTTGGAGACCCTCTAGAGGATCTGACCTTCGACCACCTAAATAAATTCATTAGCTTAACCAGATGCTTGCCTTGCCCCGCCTCCTCGACCCCAACAAGGATGGCAGCTCCGGCTCATGGTCAACGATCTCCAAGTGCCTACATATACACGCTAAACCCATCCGTACTCCTCCATCTCTCCCAGCCCCGTCCATCGAACCGCCGCAACCTTCTCCGACCGAGCAGCAGCTGCGAGTGCGAGTTCGAGCCCAAGTTCGACGGGCGATCAATGGCACGGTCGGAGCTGGTCATGGCGTTGCTGGTGGCAGTCCTCGCCGCCGGCTGCTGCGCGTCGGCCGGCGCCGTGGCGTACCTCTCCAAGCTGCCCGTCACCCTCGACGTCACCGCATCCCCCAGCCCCGGCCAAGGTACCACCGTCGTATATGCATTCTTGTTAATTAACAAGACGTAGAGCTGTGATACTGACGACTAAATTAACCGATCCTCGACCAGTTCTCCACGCCGGCGAGGACGTGATCACGGTGACGTGGGCCCTGAACGCGACCGGGCCGGCCGGCGACGCCGCCGCCTACAAGAGCGTCAAGGTCAGCCTCTGCTACGCGCCGGCGAGCCAGAAGGAGCGCGAGTGGCGCAAGACCCACGACGACCTCAAGAAGGACAAGACCTGCCAGTTCAAGGTCGCCCAGCAGCCCTACGCCGGCGCCGGCGGCAGCGTCGAGTACCGCGTCGCCCTCGACATCCCCACCGCCGCCTACTACGTGCGCGCCTACGCGCTCGACGCCTCCGGCACGCAGGTCGCCTACGGCCAGACCGCGCCCGCCGCCGCCTTCAACGTCGTCAGCATCACGGGCGTCACCACCTCCATCAAGGTCGCCGCCGGCGTCTTCTCCACCTTCTCCGTCGTCTCCCTCGCCTTCTTCTTCTTCATTGAGAAGCGCAAGAAGAATAACTAAGCTCGGAACCGTACGTGGCAAGGTGTTCGTCCGTGCGCCACTTCTTCTTCTCGTCCTTTGCAAACGTACACACAATAGTACGTACTGTACATGTAAGAGAGTAGTGTTGGTGTTCCCTTTTTGGGGACTCCCGTGATTGTTGATGTTGTACTCTCTTCATTGTATAATGTAGTGCATGTTTGATTTTTGAAAAATGAAACATGTCTATGTTTGATCAAGTTTAGTAAAAGATATCAGTATTCACAATGCAAAAGTAGTATCATTAGATTCGTCATGAAGTGTATTTTTCTATTTTACTTATTTTGTCTTTTTTCGATGTCGATAATTTATTCTATAATCTTGATCAAATGTAGACATGTTTGACTTTGGAAAACCAAATGATTCCGGCGAGCTGTTATTTGGCACCGGCCGAGACGTGTGAAGCTACAGTCAGGGCCAAATTTTGGGCCTTATTTTGTCTTCATTTTGTCTGGGTGATCAGCGGTGCACCGAGCGGAGGATAATGTCACAGCATGTTTTTGTTCCCTGGTTCCATCTCCGCAAGATGAAGCACAACCAGATGGGGCTCTATAAGGAACTTGCAATATTATTGTCCCCCTTCGGTGTGAGTTAGGATTATCAGTTTTGCTAAGTCTTAGTCGACTGAGACTTCATTATGTCTCAACCGATGCTATATTCCTTTAATTTTGCACGAAGATTCATACAATTATTTTCTTTCCGGTTTTTCTTCTTTTTTCTTATATACTATGTCACTTGACTGAGACTAAGTCTCATTCGACTGAAACCTAACCACACCCTAGGATTATATTAGTGAGATAATAATTTATTTCATTGATATATACTTTCTGAGTCTGAATTTACGAGCCCCTCATGTTTTAGGCTAAACTTTAAATCATATATTTGGGTACAAAAATATAAGTTGTATGTGAGAAACTATATTGTTGGATCAATATTCAAAAGAACTTTTTCTAAGATATATTTTTTTTCTACATATAATCCACATTAGTTACATTTATAATAAAATTTGACCGCAAATATACGAGAAAACCAGGATGAAGTACTGACGTGCAACAAACTTTTGCAGCTTCGGCACTTGAGACATTAACAGGCGCACAAAAGGGCCGTGTGTTCAAGTCCCACGTGTCAATGAGACATACAATGGCATTTTTTTTCCTAAGCCGCAAACTTTGTGGTGGGACTAATACAGTTTTTGTGAAGAGAAACTGTTGGTTCACAAAGTGGAGTGGTGCTTTGGTGTTACAAACATATCCACTGACAATTCATCAGCTGAGCATAAATTGAGATGTCCCCTATTGTAAGCTACAACTCAATTCCATACATACATGTTCGAACCAAATCATACCCACCGTGTGATGAAGGCGATCCGCAGCAGCGTTGACAAGGGCAAAAAAATTATAGCACACTTGAATAACAAGTTATATATACACCCGGTGGTCTTTGGTGGTACAATAAAAATTCCAACTATTTACAAACATGTATTTTGGCAGTTATACTGACCCAGCTCTGCAACTCAATCATAGCTGATACACACATGAATTGTTCACAACAACAACAGTAACAATAACAATGGAGCCCTCTAGCCTCTGTGGGACAACAGAGCTTTACCTTAGTAACAATCCTGACTTATGATACTCTGGGTGCCTGGGCTGACATTCACCGAGCAGGACATCAGGCCCTGGAAAAATGGAGTTGTTAGAGTTTCGCAGATATTTTTCCTTTGTCAAAAAACTGAACCAGTGTGCAGCACGATACCAAAATTCAACATCTATCTCACTATAGTCAAATCATGTTAAATTAGCATGCAAATGTGTCACAAATACAATAAGACGGCAAACAACAACTCACTCAGACACCGAGTCACAGCAAGAAATTTACTTCTGAAGCAAATATTAGTTCCAGGAAAAATATGTATATTTGAAAATAACAAAATGTTCCAATTAACAATTGGATATCTCATTTGACGCCATAATACAGCTCCAATGTTCAGGTTCCCATCCCTGCTTCTCTAATCCATTGAGAAATATATAGCTGGCTCAAAGGGATTAAATAAATAAATACAGCAGACCCTCTAGCATTCAAGTGTTAGTTTCTGGTTGTATGCAGATGCTGCTCGTAGGTTCTTGTTGGCAAAGATTGTACAGTAGGGGATTAGCAAAGAGCTGGCTTTGCTACTTGTGTTGGTCTCAGCTTAAGGCAAGTATGTCTATATATATGTGGTAGTCTGGAAAATTGGTTATCATAACAACTTTTTCATAAGAGTCTACAGAAGGGAAAATTATCAGAGTCTAACTACAACCAAAACTACTAAATTCGTACAACACCACTGTGCGGTCGTGCTCACAAGTGTTCTGAAATAAACTAGTTCTATAGCAAAGAGCATGCCAATGTTTCTTGTGCACCGAGCTTTCAAGCCGGCTTGCAAGCTTCACTGAGGCGGCTCGCCGAGCTTGGGCGGAGGGCGGAGGCTCGGCTTGTTAAACCTCCGAGTCGAGCTTCGGACCAGGAGCTTTCTGTTCACCCCTAGTAACACAACTCAACCCTTTGGCAGACTCTCATTTTCCCTTCTCTACTGTTCGCACTTCGCAGGCATTTGAAACTACTATCACTCATGCACTCATCAATTACTTCCATCTTTGACCCATTCTTTTTCAAATATATTGTCTTTGTACTAGTAAACCGCATGAGTAACTTTTTATACTCCCTCCGATCCATATTAATGTCGCAGCTTTAGTACAAAGTTGTACTACCTCCGTTTCAGTTTACAAGTCCTACGCGTATACCTAGGTTGCTAATTTTATCACCTTAATATAAACTATATAACACAAAAATTATACAGTTTGAAAATAGAACATCTGAAGTTTATATTGGTATATTTTTTGTAATATATGACTTGTATTAGGTTGGTCAAATTGACGACCTAGGGGCACGCGCACGCCCTGTAAACTGAGAGAGAGGTAGTACTAAAGGTGCGACAATTAATTTGGATAGGAGGGAGTAGTTAATTTCATGACATCATGCTTACAATTAACAGAGGTCATATGTTCTCCTTCCTAGTGCTCTTTTCAAGGGCTTTACTTATTTCCTGATCTATTCTCTTAAACAAAGAAAAAAAAGACTGTGCTGATCATAAGTAATGGATGTTTCTCTTTTTTGAATAAGCTAGTTTGGAACCAGTTAGTTCAAAATTGCATTCATGTAGGAACTGAAATATTTTTCTAGGCTAAACACTTCATGTTAAGTCTAACTCTACACTTTCAGACCCTTGGCACCACATGGTGAGATAACTGATCAGTGATAACTGTGGAAGTTTATATTTGTCATTTTCAGTTCAGCAGACTTCTGGGTGATGAAGAGGCCTGGAGTTCAATACCTCACTAACATAAAAGTCTACACTGCAACAATATTAGAAAAATGTTTGTGGGCGACTTTAAGTCC